GGCCATGTACCAGCTCCCCGACATGGCTCGTCTGCCCGGTGTGGCCTTCCCCGCTGCCATGGTGCCCCAGCAGGACGGGCAGGTAGCTCAGACCGTTCTCCCGGCCTACCATCCTTTTCCAGCCTCGGTGGGCAAGTACCCCACGCCCCCTTCGCAGCACAGCTATGCCTCCTCGAGTGCTGCTGAGCGAACACCCAGTCACAGCAGCCACCTCCCGGGGGAGCATCCCTACCTGACGCCGTCCCCGGAGTCTCCGGACCAGTGGTCGAGTTCATCGCCCCACTCTGCTTCTGACTGGTCGGATGTGACCACCAGCCCCACGCCTGGCGGGGCTGGAGGAGCTCAGCGGGGACCTGGGGCGCACATGTCTGAGCCACCGCACAGCAACATGCAGGTCTACGCCTGAGAGCTCTGCCTCCAGCCCAGAGGCAGAACTGCCTATTGCCAATGCTGCTGAGGAACAAATGAAGGTCATCCGGGAGAGAAATGAAGAAATCTCTGGAACCAGCTTCTGGAGGCAGAAGGGAGAAGATGCGCTTATCTTTCAGATCTGCGAGAGAAGCAGTTTATTCATTCTACTGGATATCGGCCAGGTTTTTGGTAGGGGACGTGGCTCCTAATCTCCTACTCATCAAGGCAAGTTCAGAGAAGTGTAAGGTGAATACCAGCATCAGGGCCACGTTTACTTTCTTCTATTTGGAGAATAAGATGGTTGCCTCTTGTCGCCCGGACATTCTTGCAGCTTGGACTGCATGTTAAGACCCGGGGGCTTCTGCCATGTCCATGAGAAGATTCTACACTCGAGTAGAAAATTGTGCCCTGGAATTCTGCCTGAGCTGACCTTCTCGTCTTCTCATCTTTGGAAGTTATTTTGTCTTCATTTGGTGCTTCACTTTGCACCTTTCCGTGATTGTAGCCCTACCAGCATGTTCCAGGGCAAGACCTCTTTGCTTTGAATCATTACTGCCCTGGAAAGCAACCTCAGCCTCCTCTCCCCTCTTGTTTTTTTGGCATACCTGGGAGTCTCACAAAGTTTACTTTGGTTATGGTTCTCCGCAGAAACCTTTCAAGTGTATTTCTTTAGAAAATGGACATACTATATTGTATTCTCCTATATATATCATTCCTAGAGAGAGAAGGGGAGCAGAAGATTTTTCTTCAAACCAATTTTTGGGGCAGGAGATTCCTTCAAGAGGATGCACCTTAATTTCTCTTGTCTGCATGCAGGTCTTCATACAAACTTCACCAGGATATGAATCCGTTTTTTTTTTTCTATGCCTGGGCCTAGTCAGTGTGAAGTTTTATCCTTGGTAGCCTAATTACCATGACACTCCCCACCCTTTGTAAGCCAGAAAAGGGTCAGAGTGACCAAGAGATAAGCTAACTCATGCGAGAAGCAGTTACCTACCCACAAGTCCCTCCACTTCCTGCCAAGCATTCCATTGACGACCAGTATGAAACTCGTTTGTCCCAGACCTTAGAACTCCAGGCCTGTTTCACGCACTCATCCAGCACATGAAACTTGTCTTAGATCCTGAGCCTTTCCTTCCATCTCCATGGGAACAAAGTCTCAAAATATACACCTTTGCCATTTAGGACTGAACTTTCCTCAGCCCACGGGACCCAGTCACAGATGTCTTCTTTTTATCGTGTGATCACAGTCTCTACTTCCTGAGTCTGTTTCTGATCACAGGCCTGTTCACCAGTCTTCCTTTCATACTGTGTGGTCTGGTGCACCTCGTAGGTTTTCACTAAAGACAGGGGCTTCCTGTGCTCAAGGGTGGGAGATGGAAAGTCTAAGGTCCAAGACATTCCTATGAGAAGGTTGGCAAGAGAGAACTATGAGGCAGCCTTTGACATTTTTGGCTACCATTTTTTTCCTCGGAAGCAATGATGACATTCCCTTTGGTAACTAACATAGAAACGTACCAGAATGTTTTATTTTCCTAGAGTCACCTCCTACACGATTATGGACAATTACAGACTTGCTGGTCATTCTCATTTTTACGTCCAGACGGTGATTGCACCTCACCTGAATTTGTTTTCTGAATTCCAGGTCTTGGCAACATTTTATTCAACTGTAGAAACAGGAGAATAGTGTTCTTCCTCTTTCTCCCTTGGTCCATGACTACACGGTCATTTCTCTCCAGCACTATAATGCCCATGATGCCTGCAAGATAGTTCTGACAGATAATATTTCTAAAATATATGCTATTTTGTAGATATTACTAGGTGAACTGCCTACTGTTTGGGGTTGAATGATAGTTCTCATTTCTGCTATGGCTGGGGTTACATCAGTGCTTCCCACTTACCTGTTTGTGGACGCATATGGAAACTCTGTGTATCTGTTGGCATGGCAGTCTACAAATGGTTTTTTCAGTCCTATCCAAGTTCATTGAACTAACCCAATTAATTCTGCCCTGATATAAGCGAATTAAGTTTGCTTGTTCTCTGTTTTATTCCCTGGCAGCATTCTACCAGCCTTTTTCATAGTGTGCAAACATGTTGTCATTGCAAATGATAACTCTCTGCCCTGAGACTCACTTATTCACAGAGGTGGAGAACCTGTCTGCATGGACCGCCCTGGGCCACACCACATCTGCCTTCCTGTTCTGGCCCTATTTCTTGAAAGTATCAGCTTCTGATCCAGCCACTGGGATCTTTTATATCCTCTCTCCTCCCTAAGCACAATGCAGAACTAACTTGCTTGTTTCTTTTGGGGGGGATACTTTAACTTGGGATCTCTTGGGTTTGGGGGGAGGAATGTGAAAGTTGTTGCTAAAGACAACAGGCCTCAGTGATGAGGAGGACATTTTACTGGTGTCTCAGATTTCAGGAACTCTGGAGTTGTGTAGTATCTAGTGAAAGGGAAGGCAAGGTGGATAATCACGTTCTCATTTGGGTTCTGAATTAGAGACTCGGTTTTTTGGGGGGATACATCTATTATGCCATGTGTAGGTCCCTCTAGCCCTTTTGGTTCATTTTTATTTTTGTAAATTCTTCCTTTCTTTGACTCCTCTTCTGCCTACCTTTGGAGATGAGTTTTTGTTTATTTGTTTTATTTTAAGCATCATTCTCTAACTTATGTGATGGTGTGGGAGGGAGAGGTTTGAGGGAAAGAGATTGAGAATTAAAGATTTTAGTGTAAGCAATCAGATATGATGCTCAAGTCCATTCTATCATCTTAATAAATTTGCCAGTTTGTAATTCTTGCATAGAACCAAAGGTGTCATGTTTTGTTGGCAGGTAGTTTGGGGATTTTGGCCTTAATCAATATATTGAATGTATGATGACTATTTGGGAGGAAACGTCTGTATGCTCTAAGGCCCCTGCTAATAACTGGTACTATGGTGACTGCCTTGTGTACATTTCTCTTAAAAGTGATATTTTATCTGTTTGTATGAGAAATCCAATAACCAACAAAATGACCGCATATTCCTGACTATACATAGTACGGAAAATGCACAACTTGTTTTTACTTTTCAAATTTTCACGCTAAAAGTAGTTAAGATGAAATTTATATCAAAGCATTTTTATCACAAAAATAAAAAAGATTACTTGTCAAGCTTAGTGGTGTTGCCGTTTTTATTTTCCATTTCTGTATCTCTGGACTTGCAATGATCTCATGATGTCATAATTTGCTGAGAGAGAAGTCATTTTGTTTTCATGCTGAATCCTCCAAAGCCTAGCACCAAGTTTCTTTTTTTTCTTCCTTTATTCAGATCATAAATAAATGCTTTAGGAGAAAAAGTATCTATCAAACAGGAAGCCTTACAAGACTGAGCACCCTCATGTGCACTAACCCATAGCTAGTGACAGGTGAAGAGCAGCTTAGGGCAAATGCCTTCCAGTGGAAATGGAGAGTTGCTGCTATAGCCAGAATGGCAAGTTGGGCTATAGGTAATAATGATGCTGTTATCTAAACCACTGATTTGTAACATACCTCAGTTTAAATTTTGTGTAGAGCTTAACATAGGATTGTAAAATAACATTTTGTGTATAAATGTTTTACCAAGTTCACATTCATACATTTACATACAAAATACATCCATGAGACGTTTGAATACTTGTTGATAATATGTAATATGCATGGCATTAACAGTCTGCTATCAGACTTAGCATCTTATTTCTCTATTCCATTATTTTGCAGAAACTTCTGAATCACATGCACAATTATAAATGTTAACAGTATTTTTTAAAAACAACTCAACTTAGGATATGCTTATGTTAAAAGGGTGAAGGAGCTTTATTCAAGATCTGCACAAATATCTTTAAACACAATTGGTGGCATTTTTTGTATTCTCCAGAGTGTTTGAATTTTATGTTAAACACATTTGAGTTTCCATGTTGTGTTTTAAAATGATGGAAGACAGTGAATTTGACAGCTAAGAATGACCACTGGCCACTGTGCAGGCTGGCCTCTTAGAACTGGAGATGCCTCTTGCAAGTTTCTTGGGAACTAAAACTTGCTCCGGGAAAATCTGCTTCAGTGGATTTGGGCTGCAGACCGTTGGGTCACTGACCACATTTGACCCCTGCAATAATAAGCTTTGAACCCAGCCTTCGATTGTGCAGGGACGACTCAGGCGTCTACATGTCCTGAAAGCCAAGAAAGGAGAGCAGCGTGGAGGCCATGTCCTGCCCCGTCACACAGCCGAAGCAATAGGCCTGGACCCTGGGTCACCAGCACGCCAGGAGAAGGGCTAGTGCCTTGGAGGCAGGCAGCGAAAACTTCCACAGCCCGAGGGGAGGGGCTTTTTCAGCACAGCCCTCATTAATGCCACCACTGTCTAGGATGTGGGCAATAGGGGTATGGCCTCTGCCACTGTTTTCCAACCATAGGGATTATGTAAGATTGGTGTGTGTGTGTGTGTGTGTGTGTGTACAGGTGGAAGTGTGTGAAACAATAATCCTTTCCCTCTTGGACTCAGAGCTCAGCAGAACACATTTAAAACATTTGTATCAGTCAAGTCCCAAGGCAGAGAGTGGGCACGCTTAAATTAGGATAAATCACAGGGCTGTTTACAAAGAATTAGTTACAAAGGTGAGGGTGGAGCACATGGAATCCACACAGGGTAGTGCAGAAACCCTGTGTTCGCATAAGCAGAGCTAGTTCCACCCGGGGTCCCCGGGGCCAAAGGCCAGGTTGAAGCTTCTGAGACCTGGAAGCAGAGTCTGGAGAGCAGGTTACCTCAAGAAGACCTGTGACTTCTGTCAAAGGAAACAGGGAGCCCCAGGCCCTCTCAGAGGAAGCCAAGAAATGCACATCCTGATCTCATTCTCCACCCCCATCCTCCGCTGGACTGTCTATCTGCTGAATCCAAGGGGAAACTTGGGAGCCATTGATTTGATCTGTCCATACAGGTCAGCTTCCTGGGGCTGAGCTTGGTGAAGAAGGGAAGAGTGTGAATCTGAAGGGGCAAACCTATTATTCTCTAAAACAGCAGTCTGCCTCCAACTGTACTATTTCCGAGAAATTTCCACTGGTAACCTGTCACTGATGTGTCACAGCGGGAAACAAAGTAAAAATAATTATATATTGCTAATCCTGTTTCACTTCTTGTTCTGACCGACAAGTGTGTTTCTTCACCATTTTGGCTTTGATCGCTCAGATGAGTCAATCAGCAGCAGCAGCAGCAGGATGGATAAATTTGGGTACATTCATGCAAACGAATGCTACACATGATTGAAAAAGCGCAACATGCAACAGACGAAGAATTCTCATGGACGTAATGTTGAGTAAAATAAGCATACACAAAAGAACATGTTCTGGATGGTTCCATTATATAAGTTCAGGAAAAAACAATAATAAATAGATCCGAATAGCAGGTACCTTTTTGGGAGAAAGGTCTTGACTGAAACAAGGGAAAGAAGAATCCTTCTGGAATCTGAAAATATCTTGACCCTGATGGTGATTACACAGATGTGTGTCTGTGTGTATGTAAAATTTAACTTAAGATTTGTGCGTTAGACTTATGTAAATTGTACTTTGATAATATGCATGTACACTAAGATGCAGAAATGTACAAACACCTAATATTGGAATGTATAATTTGTTAGTATTGTATCATGCTTTCAGATGTTTAAAGAGATAACGCTTATGTCTTAACATTTCTATGTCTCCTTTTCTAATTCCATTCCCCTCTCTTTATGGATCCCTTTTTCCGTTCTCAGTTACTTGTTTTTATTAGTGTGGTTTGTGGAGATTAATTTCTTTTTGAAAACACTGTTATTTGCAACAACTGACCCATGAAGTAAATATGCTAAGTCAGTTGTATAAAATGTGGGACTCCATGTCTGTGAAGGTAATTGAGTGACATGAGCCAGTGCAGAATAAGATAAAAAAAAAAAAACAACAACCTGGGCTGACCCAAGACAGGGAAGGAAGAGTCCCTCCCTGAGCATGCGGTGGGCACTGACTCCTGCTGAGATGCCACTCAGGCCTCTCCTGCTGCCCAAAGCACTGTGCAAAGGGGAGAGAAGATTTGGAGGCAGAGACATGGGAGTCCTTGGGAGGGAAAGGCATTCCTCAGTCGCCTCTGGTCTACTTAGGAGTGTGGCCAATGTAGGAGCAGTCCCTCAACCCACACTCACAAAAGACCTTCCCCTGAAGCAGAAATCTCCAACAGAGTTTTGGTAACAGCCTTGTCCCCAGAAACTGCCAGGCCTTGTCGTCATCTTGTCATCATTGCACTATGGTGCAATGCAGGAGTTACATATAGCCACGTCATTAACCCATTTGAAGTCACCCCAAATACTGACTCAGAGACGACACTTCTACAGAGCTAGAGTGGTCCATGGAGCAACCATGAAAGGGAAAACGCTTATAGAAGGGGTGCTCCTTATAATGCATTCTTTCTATCCACAGGATGTGTTGTCATTCATTGACCAGACTGGGGGACATGGGCAAAGGTTCACATGGATCAAGTTGAAGGAGGGAGGCAGGGGGCGATGCCGACAACAGCTTTGCTCATTGGGATTCTGCTGGGCTGTAGGTCGAAAACCGTGGTAATCCTATGAAGCCTACCACTCTCAGAGCTTTCATGTTCAGAAAGGCCACTAGAACACCGGGCTGGGGGTTCATGCCTGTTATCCCGGCACTCTGAGAGGCTGAAGTGGGAGGATCCCTTGCGCTCAGGAGTCCGAGACAAGCCTGGGCAGCATGACAAGACCTTGTCTCTACAAAAGATATTTATATAAAATCCAGGCATGGTGGCGCATGCCTGTAATTCCAGCAACTTGGAGGCTGAGGTGGGAGGATAGCTTGGACCCAGAAGGTTGAGGTGCAGTGAGCCGTGATGTGCCACTGCTCTCCAGCCCGGGTGACAGAGGACATTCTCTTCAAGATATCCACAACTTCCACAACTAGATCACAAAATGAAGGGTAAGCTAAAACCACGGAAATAACATGAACTGATTTGTTTTGAAAAGAAAAAACTCATTTATTGGCCGATCAAAACTTGTGGGAACATTTAAATTAAAAAGTACGAGAGAAGAATGAAGAGCCTTTCGGAAAATGATTAGCTTGTTCCATGAGCCTGGGGATTGCGTAGTTACTTTTTTAGTTTCTTGACATTCTTTGCTTTGGAGGGTTTACTTGCAATGTTTGCTTTAGGTTCATCGAGTACAGTAGTAGGCTCATTATGTGCCGTGTGTGCTTCAAATTTTGGTGCTTCGGTATTTTCCTTTTTCAGATAGTTTCCTATCATTTGCCAGAAAAACACAAATGTAACTGAGAGGATCAGCAAAACAAAGCGAAGCACCATAATGAACACAACCGGAATGGGCCCGGAGGACACCTCCACGCTTATGGGTCCGGGAGGCCCACTGTCAACGCTTCCTCCGAACCCTTCCAGCTCACAGGAAGGAGCGGCCCAGCCATACATGCAATGGCAGTTTTTTCGATTGTTGCACACACCGCGGGCATTGCACTTGTCAGGCAAGCAGTCAAACTGCAGCACTGAGCTATTCACACAAGTTCTGTTGACACATACCCGGTCCACTCCACAGGAGGTGCCATCGTTGATCACACCCGTGTCCGGTATCCCCAAGGGTTGCATGGACAGATGATAGCCGGTGCCCCAGCACTTGAGATTTTCTGCCTGCAAATAAGTGGAAATCACCGTCGTGTGGTCTGGCAAGTCGGGGAGGGTTTGGACGTTTATACACTGCAGCCTGCCGCAGACTGAATCTTCCCTTTTGCACTTTTGAAACTTTCGAATTCCTGTGATCTCACAGTTACCAAACTGGTCACCTATTAAATTAACTGCCTCGTAGCACCGGTCAGGAGCCTCCCTGGCATCTGGCCCAAAAATGCTCTGGCACTGCATATATCTGGATCGGCACCCCTTACGGAAACAACGACCATCGTACTTGCAAGGGGTTCCGTCCTGCTTATAGAAGTCATCCGGGCAGACACTTGAGCTCCCATCACAGTACTCTGCAAGGTCACATTCATTTTCTTCCCGTCTACACACGTATCCAGACGGGCGAAAGGCACAGTCATGACAGCAAAGCCCAATGCTGCAGTTGGCACCGAGTTTCAGTCTGCAGTTGGACTGGCAGCACCGATCTCCTCGACAGTCCTCCGTGGAACCACAATCACATTCCTCATCGTCTTCCACAATTCTGTTTCCACATCTCTTAATCACATAGCCAAGTCCTGGGATATCGTTGAGACATGTTGCTCCTGAAGATACGTGTTGGAAAAAATGAATATAGCTACAATTGCTGAACCCAGAGCGTCCTGTGCCCATGATGCAATTAAGCCTCCCCTTACACTGGCAGTATTCTTCGTCGTGCAGCATTCCCACAGCGTGGCCCAGCTCATGAGCAGACCAGGTGGCAGGGGCGAGGATGTTCACGTCGAGTAAACTACTGGCAGATCCGACATGCTCTAGAGAACACACTCTTCCAAAGGACCACGCCAGGGCATCCGAGTATTTCTTGTGGACATACAAATGTGCCCAGTCTGCCGGAAGTCGTTTATTAAGCACACTCTTTCTGTACAGCAGAAATCTGCCTAAAACTTCGGATAACTCGGGATATCCGAGGTATATTCTGTTACTGTGTGTCCACACTTCGAGAGCTTTGAGATGTATCCTCATGTTGACATCTTGAAAGTAGGTGTCCATAATCGAGGTCATGAGAATGGCGTCATTGATGACCTGCGAGAGGTTCCCGTTCATGAACGTGTACCGATGGTGGTCAAACACCAGCAGCAGCTCCAGGTACTTCGGGTGCTTGTAGGAGTCCGCGAAGTCCCGCAGCCTCGCGCGGGCCTCCCGGGGGGCCGCCCGCGGCGCCGCGGCGCCGTCGCCCAGGCCGCACGTGCGGCGGCCCAGCGGCTCCTGCTTCAGGCGGTACACGACGTGCTCGAA